TGATGACGTCATTGAATGTCATTGAAGGACTAGACCTCCAGCACGCTGGCAAGTGTGGTCGAAACCAGTTTTTACCGCTCTTCCAGCAATTCCTTCAACGACGCCATCAGAACCGTGCCGCCCTCCAACCATTGTGGTCACTGCCTTTAAAAAATTTCTACCTTGTTGCTTAGTTTGCCCAATATAAAGCTTTCTTTTGGTGTTATATTTCCTCACGACTCTGATTCTACAATAGTTTCACCATCTTGTCAAAATTAGAACTCGGGGCATGGCGCAGCAGCTACAAGTCGCATAGTACTTAGCGGATGAATGAATGGAGGAAGGGCAGGGATGAATGTCGTCGTCCTGCACCTTGCACATGCGAGATAGGAGTGAACTGAAGGGGGAATACTACATGCCGCATACTTCTGAATCTCAAGAATTTTATAATAGTCATGAGTACAGCCTTTGCAACGTAGGCTGGCAATTTCATCAAATAGATGGTTTCTGCGTTCGTTCGCAAAGAACTTCACCTGCAATACAGGTACCTGACATGCACGTGCAAGGACCGTTAATAAGGCCCATTTTGCCAATCTGTAAAAACACCTACACAGAGGCAACTTCTTGAAGCACATGGCAACACAGGAAACAACAGCGTTTCTAGATGTTGTCTGCATGAGCAGCTGTTCGATAGCTGCTACTTCTCCAGGAGAAAGATTCTGACCCTAAAAACACACCAGCTTACGACGCTAAAATCGGTAACATTTAAAAGTGATAGAGTTTAACTTACTTTAGCGATTACTTCAGCGCTTATTTTACCAACAGCAATTGAAAGCAAACGCGAACGGGTGAAAAGTTGGCATGGCTTGAGCCAGACAACGCTTCGCAACAAGGTTTGCCAGCACTTAATGAGCAACAATTCACTTTAGCAAATCATAAGTAGGGAGAAATCGGATGCAAGATTGGCACCAGAACAAAAATTTGTTACCTTTTGGTTTACACAAAATCCAGATGGAGTTCACACAAATTCGGAAACTTCAGCTAAACCCGAATAAACCACATCGCTTAACGCTACTAAAGATAAGAACTTACAAGCACATTAAGTAGATGGTTCGATGTTCTTTGTCAACGATTGGAAGCCAGAAATCCGTTCCATGATCTCAGTAGCCAACAGTACAGCGAACGATGAAAGGTAACCTCTGTTTATGCCTGAAGTCTTGCATTTAGGCCGTTAGTTTCTGTAAAGGAGCCAACAAGGGCGTATTACTCACAGAGGCGAAGCCGATGTTGAAAGTGTATACAACGGCATCTTAATTAAAATCTCCAGTCATGTGAGCGAAATTTTGAATTAGAATGTGTCAGCAGATTTTGGATGGCAAATAGGGGGTCCGCAGAAAGGGGGAGGTGAAGCAGGGGAGCAGAAATGGTGTCTAAGCTGCTCGTTATGGCACAGTCTCGGGGAAAATGTTACGAAGACGAGGGGAGGGGTTCAAAACAAGAAAGAATCCACCTAGTGCCTAGAGTGAGGAAAGCATGAAGTAATCAAAATCTGGTCTCTAAACAGATAAGAAGTTGCGAAAAATGACAAGACTTAGCAATAAATTTACTCGCTTCCAACATCCACAAGCATCCTTAAACCTTATCTTAGCCGCATTCTCAGTGACGTTTCTATACAATTCCCCGCCCTTCACAAGTGGCACATGTTTATTATTGTCAATGTTCGCCTTGATTCGAACCAGTGCAGACCTTTTATCCCATTTTTCGTATTCCTTGCGCCGATTTGGCATAATAGTCTTGCAATACATTAATACAAATACATTCGTTGTCATGTATATAAAATAAACATAACAAAATTTGCTGCGGTAAGAGAAAAATCGCTAGTGATGAGAGCGAAGCATGTCTGGAGACGCGGATTCCAGAAGCACTCGCGTGGGGAGAGCTTCACATCTTAGCAAATAAGTCCCGGCCCATTCACTAACAACTAGAGATGATCACAATCTTAATCGTAACAGCACTGTCCATCTAAGATTCAAAACCGATATCCTAACAACTAAATGCGAACTTTGAGCCCATGTGGCACCGGCTTCTCAGCATGAAGCCCATCAAGGGTGGAGCCTGCGTCAATAGGCGAAACTTTCTTGGTCACAGCATTCCAGAGAAGGCGAAGGACAAATAGAATCGAAGGGAATGACAACATATTTTAGGACGAAGGTAAGGAAAACACCCGTATGGATTGGGCCTACAGCATAGCGCATTTTAAAAGCATACAGAATTCGACCCGATTCTACAGAGCTTCAGGATATGGGAAAAATAGACGAGGATAAACATTTTTCAAGATGAGTGAATAATCTCACTGATAACTGAAATAAGCAGGACAGAAGGGAAGAATGCTCGGAATTCCCCATATACTGCCAGTGGCATGTTCGCAGATGTTCGCGAAGCGCAAGGGCGGTGGTACTGCCGGCAAGGAAAGCTCGGTACTACACACAGCAATTCAAATACAGGATATTCTCCAATGAAGTGCACAGGAAGAACAATAATGATCATGTTGCGTGTTACTCTCACCATTTTGTGGCATTCACCACGAGTACATCACTGATTGCCGCTCTGAGGTATACACTATTCAAGTTGCCGCTCTTCGGCAGATGACGTCGCATGCGGCCACTTTGAAAGAGAGGAAGAAATATAGAAGTGCCTTGTTCGAAGAAGCACCGACAGTACGCAGCGAAATCCTCAATATTCGGGTCCTAAAACAACTCCAACCTCTCCACATCCATTTACTCCTTGAAGTAATCGACCCACCTTTCTATCTGTGGCCATTTGCTTTTCTCGGTTTGTGTACCAAACAAGTTCGTCTTTACATATGGCATTTTCACGTCGCCGTTCCATAATGAAATTGAGTATCTGAAAAGCTAGCCACATTAGAACTTTCGGACGCCAAAAGCATACCTAGTGATTGAAAATCGTTCCAGTACGAACTTTGAATATTCAGCAGAAATGAAAAAAGGTTCCTTTGAAAACATGAGCAGCAATCAATCAAAGAAAAAATTAAAAACTAGGAAATGAGATGATTCAAAAATAAGCAAACAAAAAACATACCGATGTACATCCAGTAACAAAAGATCGGTTTTCCTCATCGCATGTGGACGCGAGGTGGGAAACAATGAATTGTATAGTCTGTAATCAATCAACTTACTGTGAGAAAAACAACCTAACGCAAGGATTACAACAAAGCAGTATAGAAATTGCTACGTACAGGATAATTATACGGAGAGACTGTATAAAGGATGTCTCGGAAAGCTGGGAACGAATTTTCGGGGAGTATTGAGACTTCATTCACCTAAAAACACTTTAGCTGAATCAAAAAGGACACAATTTTCGAAAAAGCGTGGAATCCATGAATAAAGTCAAAAACAATAAATAAATAATAAAATAAGAAAACAGAAGCAATAAGTTACCTTCAAAGCTTGATGAGCGACTTCTAGGAAACTTGTGACTTCGCGTTGATCTTCAGAGGCAGATGCTAATTGAACAAGGGTAATAGCGTACTTGAGTAACTTATCTGGTAACTCGTTCACACCACAGAACTCATCCACATATCTAGAAAAATACTATCACGGAAAGCACATTTCTAATTTTCTCATAATGTTCACTCAGTGAGCAATCCGCTATCAGTACTCCTAATTCTGTACCGAATTTGTCGCAAGAACCTCGTATTAGTTCGCAGTCACATGCAGAGACATTGTCTTTTTTGTGAACACCAGCGCCTTTCAGGTTTACAGTATTGAACATAAAAATGCGCGACGCGCCTGTCATCATACGCCGCTTCACGCAAGTTAACTTCCCCATCCCTTTACCTCCTCACTTGGGACCAAATGGAAGAAAGCACACCGCAGTGTGGATCAGCCAAGCATACAAGGCCATATACCCTTGGGTAATGACTAGTCAGCAGAATACCGAAATGTAACCAGAGCATCTAGAGCCATGTGGAGGCAGCGTGTAGATCAAATACGAACGCGTAAGCAGTGTAAACTAACTGCTCCGCGTATCCAAATGCTGATTAACGCCCTTTAATCTTTTTTGTTCCAACGACGAAAAGAACCATAGCTTAGTATGAGTATGGATTTCCCTATTTCCCTGCAAAGGCTGAGATCCCTGTACGCTCCTTCAACCTTAGGTTTGACAAAAGGAAAAACTGGACAATGATGCTAGCAGTAGTTTACTTCTCTTCTTTTGCCATCGATAGCGCCGGAAGAAATTACAGGAAACCCAAACTTATCGCAAGTAACCAAAATTTTGGGATAAACTTGTGCTTAGCGAACTCATCGATAGCGAGTTCAATAGGCTTGCGTGGAAGCACAGGAGATAGGCACGCTTTTCCAAGCCGCTTCGCCCATAATGTCTTGATGAAAGTATCCTGAAAATAAATCTTCGTGAGTACTGAAGAAACCGATCCAGTTCCTAGTCAATCCTATATCACCGAAGGTGAATGCGAGAACTGCAACGCAACGAGGAACTAGCAGCCTCCTATCTGCAGCACGTAGTGAATGGTCCGTGGCCTATGCACTTAAGCCTGATTGGTTTCATAACAAGGCAAAGCGAGCAGCACAGCCGAAACCCTGAGCTAGAGACAGTGATTAAATGAAGCGCTAGATTTCGCGGGTGTATATGCTGACCTCTAGTGAACCATTGAAGGTGCTAGAGAAAAGATAATTGTGGGGAGCGTAAACTACAGGAACGATACGAGAACTCACTTAGAATAGAAGAGACGGACCGCTGTGGAATAGAGTGTGCGCTCTTAGAACGAAAAACTAGGCATAACAGGTACCATATCTAGTACACTTTCACAACCTATTCAATCAAGACGGAGTGGCTTTTTGCAGCACGGAACGGGTTCGAGCCATATCACGCGTTGATAATGCACCACTGCCTTGGCAGAGCACCCTGTCTCTCATTGGCAGAAAACCCTTACCACAATCCAAGAGACGTATTTCTTAATCCGTTCTCCATATGAAATAATTCAGTGACTACTTCCTTGTATTCTGGATGCTCGAAGCACGGTGGGAGGACACAAATTCTCTAATGGAGAAATTCACTATAAGGATGGTGATCTGTTACCGAATATGCATACGTAAATCCCTTAGCAGCGACAGTGATTTCCTGTAGAATCTGGCGAACTGAACGAAAGCAAAGAAAATTGATCATCGTTGAGGTACTTCCTATTTGATACGGTATTTCTCAACTCGAGGACCACCTGAAATTCAGCACCAAATATATGCAAAATAAATGCAGTTAAATTGAAAATAAATGCATGAATAATGACTTCTTCTATGGTAGACGGTGGCAGAGATGAGAGAAGAGTGCACGGTGTCCACAAATCGCATGGGTGCGCCTGCAAGGCACGAAGGCAGATATTGCGGACAGAAATTCGTAGGCCAGTATCGTTTCGTGTTTGGTGCTCTTTCCACCAAGCTAAAAAATCTTGTCTGCATATACGAAAGAATTAGGCGCACCAATATTGAGTGAAGTGATCGCATTTTATAAACAAATGTTAAACACATATGTCATATATATGCTCTAATCTAGTAAGAAAGGGGAAAGAGGAAGTTTTTTAGAAAGTCCCAAAATAGAACCTAAACAAAAGACGGTCGAGATAAATACCGCACATGATGCGCGTAAACGCGAGCCGGATAAATTCCAGTAGCATCTTGATTCGAATAGTGAAAGGAGTTAAAACAGTGTCGTACTCCATATTGGTGCCTGGTCGAACATAGAAGAGCGTCTCGTTTGCATCACTACATTTAAGGAAACTAATATTCTATTCTGAACTGACAGGTCTCGACTAATTAGCTTAAAAGAAGATCAAGAATCTTACTCAAGCTTTTCTGTCCCAACAGCACTTTGAGCCACCGAAGAAATGTGAGCTATCGCTTCCCATCCTTGCAAACAAAGGTCCTTCATTTCGCATCTGGTAGACGCCAACTCGACGACGAACGCCATAAATGCGTCTTCAATAGAAGTAAAAATAAGCATGAGGGCCGAGAACGCCTTGAGGAAAAAAATTTTGCCAACAATAATACCGATCATCACTGAAAGCGTCTTCTATACATTTTAGGAAGAGCTCCTTTTCAGTAGAACTATCGCTTGTTGTGTCATCTGAGGACTGCTTGGACAAACTAGAGAATAAATCTACGAGCGTGAATCTAACAATTTTACTGCTTCACGGTTAACAACAACAACTGGAAAGCCTATAAGAAGGAGTATTCTGTATTCGGCCAACTTCCAGTCACGTACACACAAGTAAACCAGCACAAACCCTGGACGACAGTTCTGTAGACACAAGCGAGTGCTCGTATGATAGTGTTCTAAGAATTGCAAGAACCTCGACAGAATGACCAAATGAAGTCAAATGGACTTATTAACAAACAATGAATGATATATCGGAAAAAAAATATGGGAATCGCGCATAAAATTAATGTGCAAATGGAATTTAATTGTTGTGACGTATAAGGAAAATGGGTTGCATAGTTTCCGACATCTGGGGTGAATAAGTGTGAAACGGAACACCCATTGGCCAATAAAACCACTTGAAGGTGCTCATGCACCTGGCTTCAAGAAAACGTTTGAATGTGCATCATGCGCTAGTGAAAGATTGAGAAAGCATCGGAATTAATGTTAGCGGACAGTTTTTTTTCGACGACAACAAAAAAAAAAAACGATAAAATTAATCTTGAAGAATGGTTTAATTCATCATCGGCAGAAGTGAAACGTATACCCTTTATGAATAATGTAGAAGATCCCTAGCGGCCACTATGCATCACCATACAATACTCCGTCAGAGCATTTCAACACTTTCTTTCACAATAGGATGAATGGCTTACATTGCGCATACTACTCTCACCATCTATAAGCCCAACAAAAAATACACTTTTATGACCAGTAAAACTACTAAATCTGGCACAACTCTGAGGGCCCAAGGTAGCGTAGCCGCAAGTTATGCCAATTCGCACGCGCATGGTCACAGGCCCAAACCCCCTTCCATTACTATAGAGCCCAAATTTGAAGGATAGAAATATTGACCGATTCATCAGCCGGCCTCTGCAATTCATTGTGTAGGCTAAGTTACAATCAAATGCCGCTATGAATTTGAATACAAACAAGATGCGTGGCGCATCATGCAAAGGGATTGATCACGGCCCCACGCTTTATGTTTTTATCAGTCTAGCTGCGCATGCATTCGCGTGCATCACACGGGACTGCATGGTATGAAACAGGGCCATTGATATTTTATAGTTCACCGTGGGAAACTCCGCAAATCCTCGGTGGCGCCCACCAAATAGCATTTGGCCCCATTCCTTCGCCAACCTTTATCCACTTTTCCCAGCCTCTGGGCTCTCTTTCAACCTCTGTAATATCACGTGACAAACTCCGCCTACTTCAGCGCACGCTCCACCCACCAAGTTGACTTGCCTTCCGTTGACGGACTCAACCCACTTTTTCCCGGTCTCCAGGACTTCTGGAGCCAACTTACAAAGTTTCGGATAACTCCGCCCACTTTGGTGCACGCCCACCCACCAATAGCAGTTGACCTCCCTTCCGTTGACGGACTCAATCCACTTTTTCCCGGTCTCCAGGACTTCTTGGAACCGAGTTATAAATTTCGTGGATAACTCCGCCCACTTTGGTGCATGCCCCGCCCACTAATAGCAGTTGACTTCCTTTCCTTCGCCGACCTCTATCCACTTTTTCCCATCTCCAGGACTTCTTGGAACCGAGTTATAAGTTCGTCGCAAACTCCGCCCACTTTTGCGCGCCACGCCCACTGTGGGCGGGGCTCCGCTTAGCTATGTATGTTTTTTACTTCTCGAGATATGGTACACCCATCCCAAACTTGACCTGGACCCAGTAGGTTGTTGTTCCGCTTAATACGGAATTTCGTGACAGACAGACAGACAGACAGACAGACAGACAGACAGACAGCGCATTATATATAGTAGGGATCCTTCAGTTACAAC